GGGGAGAGAGAGAGAGAGAGAGAGAGAGAGAGAGAGAGAGAGAGAGAGAGAAATCTAACAGCCTCCGGGCCAGACATGAATTGGCCCCTCCTGGCCCGCTCCCCCTCACCGTTCCCACCACACTGGCTTCGCTGATCTCTCTCCAACCCATTGGCCACACCAGGAAGTCCTCTTCCCTGTGGGAGCAGGGCCCTCTCTCACTTCTCTGGGCCTCTGCTCCAGCGTCACTTCTGCTCAACTCCGAAGGGCCCTCCTTTAGACTATACTTAATTTTTCTCCACAGCACCCACCACCATTTGATACATCTTTGCTTGTTCATCTGTTCACTGTCTTCCCTCACTAGAATTCATCTCCCTATGGGCAGCTGCACTGTGTTTTCTGTCCTCTGCTATATCCGTCCCTAATAGGATGCCTGACCCATTGCAAGCATTCGCATATTTATTGAATGAGTGAAATGCAATTAAAACTCTTGCTGTGAAATTGGAAACTCACATTAATTTAGTCTAAGCACACTGCATTTGGTTTTATCTCTCGTGGCACAAGTTAATTTTCCATTTCTCTTACCCACTGCTTCACACTGCTGAGCTGTGCCATGTAGTAGTGTAAGAACTGCGTTGTCTTTTCCCACATCACGTAAGAGCTGCCAAGAAAAGCTAAGTCCCAGATGGGTCTGAGCGAGGGATCAATATGTCCATGACTGTCTGAGAACACACACACACAAATTATATTAAGCATTTTGGGAACAAAACTTCAGAAATTTCAGCAATTAAATAAGGGCTTAGTCATATCAGTCATCTCTCTCACAGCAGGACCTTCAGCAATATTTGTTTGTTTCTACATCATACTGAGATTTACGTGCTTCAAGTCAAGTTGCTATAAGACAGTTTCATGGCTATGTGCTGTACTATATAAATGCAAAAGAAGAGCTATAATGATACTCAGTTAATCTAACATCTTTTAGTTGAGAAGCCTTTCCTAATTAGATCAAAACATCTCTCAGTGATCTTCGCCACATAACCTGGTTTGGGGTCTACTGTCATTATAGTCATAGAAAGGTCTCTGTCAATCTGCCTGATGTCTTTGTCCATTTCTGATAAACGCATTGGCAACATTTCTATCACTTTTTAACACATCAATCAGGTGGGTTTTTCCTGTGGCATTGTTTTTGTACCTGCAATCTTTTTAATTCAGCAAACATTTGCCAAAAAACTCTACTTAATATCAGACACCGCTAGAGGGAGGGATACAGTGATTAATAAAGGACCTCTTGTGACTTTTAGGAACTCACATTTTAGCAAGTAATTTGTGTGATAACTGTTCGTGGACTTGTGAGATGAAAACCCATTAGCAGAGAAGATAAATTAGTAGTTACACTGACAGTGACTAATAAGGAAATTTGAAAGTATAAATGCTGGTGGCCCTGCCCTAGAACCCAAAGAAGGCCTTCACCTCAGTCGTCCTCTTCGTCTGCAGTATACTTGGGCTCATCTAATAGAAGCTTATGAATTCATTAGAAAAGGTGAAATTTTTACACATAATAAAATCCAGACAACTCTTTTAGGGGGAAAACAATGTGGAGCAAGGATATCCTGAAGTGGATTTGATGGTCTCACATCAATGGTAGAGAAACTGCTCTATGATGGCCCAGAACTGTGGACGGATTAACTGCTCAGGAGAATCCGCTGAGATTGGAACTGGCTACTCCATGGATGACTCCATGGTTTTGATTCACTTCGTCTAAAGCCAAACTCTTTTTTTCCATTCTAAGTAGATAATTTTATATACATGGACAGGCTATAAACAGCACCATTAAATGTCTCTGCTGAATTGAAAGTGACAAGAGAACTTGTAAATTTTGTGGATGAAAAGGTACATTCTGTTAAAAAATTTTTTTTGATGCTTCATAGTAGCCACATTGAGTTGGCTTGTTATCGAACGACCCTTGTGGGCATACAGGCTTTATTAACTGAACAAGAACCAATTAACCTGCACTAACAAGTGTCCAAAATCTAGTGATATTGTGGCAAATCTTCAAAGAAGAGGTCCTATACATTTTCTAAAATTTGTGTTTTAAGGCGGATATATAAAACCCTATTTCCCCAACTAATGCCAAGGGGAGAAGAAAAATCCCTAAATAACTATATAAAGTATTTGCCATTAGCCCGTATATTTCAGACAGTGCTAAATATAAGCAAATTCTATAACATGGGATTTGAGTTGCTCCTCACAATTATTTGGAACAGGGTTTCATCTAAGTCATCAGAGAGCTACAATAGGAGTTATCTGAGCTTCTGAACTTGAGGAACGTGAGGATCCGAGCCCACCTCGGGTTTTAAGAACATTGACGGGGCACAGACAGCTCAGGAATGGAGACCGTGGGCCCCCACGTTGAGGCGGATCTGTCCCGGTCTCTGAGCGAACAAGTGAGCTGTGACAGGCGGTGGGAAGGGAAGTGCTGCAGCACTGGTCAGATGTCAAGCTTAATACCCCAGTGCAGATCCAGAGGTGACTCTTGTGGTTTGGAAATTGAATTTGCCGGTAAGAGCTGAGCGTCCATGCTGCCCGCACCCTGCTGAGTGCCAGAACAGATGGGCTCTGCTCCACGCCGCTGAGTCACTCAGGGCAGAGGGCAAGTCTTTTATTAGAGATGCACCGCTGCCCATTAGCTCTCGCTCTAAAATAAGATCAACTTGATTCCTCTGCGGCCCCCCAAGAAGGCCCCACGACGGTCGGCTCGCTCAGCCCTGGGGCGGACGGCCACGATGGGCACAGTGCAGGCCCTGGATGGGGTCACCTCGAGTTTCCAAAGCCACCGCCAGAAACTGCTAGCAATGTCACTTCAGGTTCTAGACTCTCCCCGGAAAAGTGCACCCCTACATGTGTGTCCTGTTGCAAAGACTTCTACCCATTCCTTGGAGAGGCACCTCTTGCCTTGCCCAGGTCCCGGAGAGCACAGATCCTACATTGTACTGGAGGTGAAGAACAAGAAAATGTACTTCTGAGTTTTGTTTAAATAACAAGTTTTGTTTAAATGCCACATTTTATAGTTGGATTAAAGTGCCATTTGGGGGATAAGAACTTAAATGATCATTCTTTTTTAAGACTTCATAATTTCATGCATTCCTGGACAGAGACATTCCAGATCAGCTGGTCCATACCAGGTATGCTGACGACATCCAAGGGGTCTTTGAGCTGCTTCATGTGCTTGTAGAGCAGGTAATCCTCTTGCTGTCTTTTGCTCTTCTCCATGAACCGCGTACAGGTGACATTGATGGCGGGCCTGGGTTTCTCATTCTTGAAAAACACTTGAGCGGAACATTTCCCCAAACGTTCCTCGCCTTCCTGAAATAAAGAGTTTGGAATTAAATAGCTTGGTTCCTTCTCCCCACCACCCCAATACACAAACACACAAAACTGAGAAGTGCCTTGTACATGGCAGGTATTACTGGCTCAACAGATATAGTGGCATTTGCTTTATAGAAAATGATTTTTGTGCTCATAGCTGAACACAATTGTCCTTCATTCTTTGCTGTCATTTAAACTCCTGCTTTCTGCCTGGCCGGTGTGGCTCAGTGGTTGAGAGTCGACCCAGGAACCAAGAGCTTGCCGGTTCAATTCTGGGTCAGGCTTGATCCCCAGCAGGGGGCATGCAGAAGGCAGCCGATAGATGATGTTTCTTTCTCGTGGATGTTTCTCTCTCTCTGTCCCTCTTCCTTTCTCTCTCTAAAAATCCATTAAAAAATAAAATTATGCCCTTACAAAACAACGCTGGGCCTGTCCCAGAGAAACACCACCCATGCCCATGAGTACTGCCTGCTCAAGCCTTGAGGAGAGCGGGCACTTTACTCTGCTGTGGACCAACATGTCGAGCTGGACCTCCGGCTTTCTAACTGGAACCCGAAGGTGAAGCTGGTCCCTATGAATAAAAATGGCCACATCTTCATGCTGCCCTATGAACTTGGTCTTGTTCCAATTTTACAGATGAAGATACCACAGTTTAAAGAGGAAGCTACTGCATGTCACGCCAGGAAGTGGTGAGCCATGGCTCCAGCTCATGTCTGTCTTGCAAAGCCCTGGCTCTGTACTAACTCTTTGTCCATTCACATCTAATGCAGATGAAGTGGAGGCAGAGGTCACCCAAATGGGACTAATCCAACTAGCCGGGTGACCTAGCTGTGCCTGCCTGCATTCACATGTAAATGTGCATGTGCTGAGCATTCTGGGATCACCCTACTATTCCGCCCAGAGACAGCTGGGGCGGGAGAGGGGGTGCTTCAAGGGCACTCGGGCGTCTGACTCATTTCACCCTTTTGCAAAGGTCACACAGTCCATAACCCCACGTCAAAAGCCAGGGAGCCTAGTCCCAGAAAAATCCCATCGACACGGCCTGGAATTTGAGGAAGTTCCCAGGCCTCTAGCCATGCCCCCACTCACACCCATTCGTGGGCCCCGAGGTAAGAACTCCTGTCACAGTGTGGTTGGTTAAGCAACACCACCCATGCCCATGAGTACTGCCTGCTCAAGCCTCGAGGAGAGCGGGTGCTTTACTCTGCTGTGGACCAACATGTCGAGCTGGACCTCCGGCTTTCTAACTGGAACCCGAAGGTGAAGCTGGTCCCTATGAATAAAAATGGCCACATCTTCATGCTGCCCTATGAACTTGGTCTTGTTCCAATTTTACAGATGAAGATACCACAGTTTAAAGAGGAAGCTACTGCATGTCACGCCAGGAAGTGGTGAGCCATGGCTCCAGCTCATGTCTGTCTTGCAAAGCCCTGGCTCTGTACTAACTCTTTGTCCATTCACATCTAATGCAGATGAAGTGGAGGCAGAGGTCACCCAAATGGGACTAATCCAACTAGCCGGGTGACCTAGCTGTGCCTGCCTGCATTCACATGTAAATGTGCATGTGCTGAGCATTCTGGGATCACCCTACTATTCCGCCCAGAGACAGCTGGGGCGGGAGAGGGGGTGCTTCAAGGGCACTCGGGCGTCTGACTCATTTCACCCTTTTGCAAAGGTCACACAGTCCATAACCCCACGTCAAAAGCCAGGGAGCCTAGTCCCAGAAAAATCCCATCGACACGGCCTGGAATTTGAGGAAGTTCCCAGGCCTCTAGCCATGCCCCCACTCACACCCATTCGTGGGCCCCGAGGTAAGAACTCCTGTCACAGTGTGGTTGGTTAAGCTGTTGAATTCTTTCACGTTTTCAGTCCTTTAAACTGGTGGAGTTTCAAATGGCAACAACAACCAAAAATAAACTTAAAAAGAAAAAAAGCCCCCAAGGAAACAAACTGTTATTAAAATGGGATCTGCTTATGGGCTTTCCAGCGGGCAACTGTTCCTCCGTGAGCTGTGAACCAGAGGAGATGCCTGTGGTGCGTGAAAATCCTGATAAATAGTGCAATGTGGAGAAAGAGGTGGCGGGCGTCAGGCAGAGGATTACCAAAGGCAGAACACAGGCGAGCACACAGTCTGCTTTGATGTCAAAGCCATTTCCAAGGAAGAGAGAAAACCAGGTATCACCCCTTTTTGTTTTCCTCTCCTCTCTCTACCCCCCAGAACAGCGCCACAGAATCAAAGCCGTTGTCTGGAGATGAAAGACTCCTCACCCCCTGACATGGACACTTCAATTAGCGAGCTGTGCTTGTCAGAGACACATATTGTTGATCAAAAATAATCTAGTAATTGTTCCCCTTTAGCTTTAATCCAATGCTTTCAGTTTGCAGCTCTAGAAATGAAAGGCATCTTCCTTAAGCTTTAAGAAACATTTCAATTCTTAGGTTAATTAGCAACATGAGAGTATATTGTTGTCTTGTTAGGGCTTGTTTCTGAATACTGGCAGCGTTGTTCCAGAAGCATCGGGCTGGGGGGTCACAGCTGTGCCCCCTGACCCCCCAGCTCTGCCACCCAAGACCCTTCAATGCTGGCCGCCTCCTGCCCTTCCCTGGCTGTTTCCACTCAGCACCACGGAGCGGGGATTTTGGCCTCCACCCTGCTGCTGCCTCCCAGCCTCGCCCAGCGCATGGAAGTTCGTCTGGTCTAGTTTCTGTATGTTCTCTGTTTACTCTCTTCTTGGGAACAGGGAAAGGGGAAAAGGGAATTGGCAAACCCTGGCTGCCTGGTCAGATGTGGGGGCTATTGACGCCTGTGGCGAGCACTGGTCCTGAGCTGTGTCTCACAGAAAGCCTCTATGTAAGGCAGCTTCTGGAGCTGGCCGTGCGCTTTGCTGCTCTGCTAACGAGAAATGTCACCAGCTGACGGGCAGAGGAACAGGTTGGCATTTGAGAGTGAGTCATTCGGAGGCCTCTGAGGTGCTAGGGAGGGGTACCAGAGGGAGCTGTGAAACTCCCTCCCGGGCCAAGGAAGGAGGGGGGTGCTGTGTGGACTGCTGTACACACAGCCCCCCAGAAGGCCGTGACCTGGCAGGAGTGGAATCGAGGTCCTGCCTAGCTCTGCTCCTCCGTTCTTGAAAACAAAGGCAGAAAAAACCCACCTCTACGTCACTATGTATTAGTATTCTTACTCAGAAAAATAAATTCATACAAGTTGCTAATAAGATACCAGTTTGGATAGAGTATCGGCCCCAAGGACTGAAGCATCCCAGGTTTGATTCCAGTCAAGGGCATGTACTTGGTGGGGTGGGGGTGGAGGTTTGATCCCCAGCCCTGGTCGGCCTGTGTAGGGGGCAACCAATTGATGTGTCTGTTTCACATCGATGTCTCTCTCTCTCTCTCTCTCTCTCTCTCTCTTTCTCT